GAGGGAACTTAAGCAGCTTTTATGGGGTGGTGGGGAGGATTGCTGTGACAGGAGTCCAGCACATTTGGTGGAGCCTTGTTTAAAACTTCATCGCCTCCGAGATTGTGCAGGCATTCCCAGTTGGTGCTCCTGCTGCTTCGCTTACAACCTTTCTCCAGCTTACAGGGACTCCTCCACTTCTTTCTGATGTTCTTGTCAGAGGAAAGACACAAGCTGGACATTCCAGACAGTTCTGCTCAATTAGGAAGCTGGGCGGAAGCAGTTTCCAATTTCCTTAACCTAACCAGGACACTTTTCTCAGGAGCTGGAAGCATATGTGTTCTAATGTTCTCCTCATGCCTCAACTGGTAGGTATGCTCAATCCTTGCCACTACTCCCTTAACACCAGTCTAGCACTGAGAAGTGATGAAGGGGAGATGGTTGGGCTGGAGGGGCAGAGAGTTTGGCTAAGAAGTTGATCTTATTTGAACCCCACATATTTGATCCTGTGTCCTGAGGCTATTTTCTGGCAATCCTTCCATTACTGCTTCATATCTCTCTACCAGTGCAAGCTGACTTTCAGGTTGGATTGCAGCCTCCCAGTGCTCATTATGGAGATTTAAAACAGCCATCTTGATAATACAGCTACTCTGGCTGTAGGTTTACCTGTTTTTTCCTTGTTTTAGAAATTCAGGTACGAGCCAGATCTCACTGAGCAGCAGGTTAGGGTCAGCCAGCAAGCTTGAGTGACCCCATTCCTGTACTAGACTATACCTGGTATGCCAGTTCCAGACCTGAATTGAGTGGCTTCATAGCCTGGGTGTCCTCCTGGAACCATCTTTGTCACTTGAGGTCAGGGAGCCTTGGTGGTTTGGAGAGCCTCTCAACAGCTTGGGTTAGTGACCCAGTTATGCCCCTACCTAGATCGATGCTTTGCCCCTACCTAGATGGCTTCAGTTGTCTGTGCTCTGGCAATCTCCTAATTATATTATTGCAGGTGGTCACTGTGGGTTTCCTTTGAATGTGGCCTGCTTGCACTGGCTGTATGTTTCTGAGTTCAGTTCAAGTTGCCAGTTTGACTTAACATGGTTTGGAGCCGCAATACTTGATAAAGTGTGTCTCTTGGCATGAACCCAAATTTAGCATTTGTAACATGCCATTTTTCCCCTAACTAAAATGCTCCAGTGTTCTTGTGACGGAGAACAAAATTGGGGAAGCATCCAAGTGAGCAAGCATTTAAGTAATGAATGGCCTTAGTTACCCTCAAATTCATGTTCTGATTATGATGAAGGGGGAACCTTTTTTGAGACTAAACGATTGTGCCCTAGGAACAGACGGAGGATCATGAAATAGCTCAGAGGGGAGATAAACCTGGATTTAATCCTAAATGGTGCTCAGAAACTAATGTGAGACGTGCAAGTAGTTGAAACATTTGGAGAAGGAAAGATTCTGCAGAAACATTAATTTATGTGGTGTGTTGGAATGTGACAATTTGGACTGAAGGATGATAATGCTAGTATTTGTCTACCTGGTAAGATGGGGAAGGGAACTGTGGGCAGTATCATCCTCTTTGACACTGGTGTCACAGTAAATTACATTGTGCTAGCATAAGTGATCTCTAGCACAATGCTAGGTCAGCACAATGAATTTTCTGGCTTTATCTGTTTAAATATATCTTATTTTAGAAAAGGCCCTTGAAGTAATCCATTGATTTAGGAATCCCATTTTACTCCTTAATTAAAATATTTATAAGATGCCTTTTAGGTTAAGCCACCCCAAGGTGGCATACAGCAAGATTTAAAACTGCAAAGTACAATAAGAATAAAAGATTCCAATTAACAATGAAAACTGGATAGCACCATACACACAATGGCATCTAATGCTGTCCTAACTCTGTTATAGATAGAGGCTTTAGTGCTTGCTTAAAGGCCTGTAATAATTGGACCTTGCATAGTGAACTGCCGGTTGGTCTGTACTGAAGCAAAGCCCCATGTCTTCCTGTTAGATGTTACTTTTCTGGGGAATGCTACGTAGCGTGCCCTCTCTTCCTTTCTCAGAACCATGCTATGCTTATTCACACAAGTTAGTGATGCAGCTTTTCTATTAAATCTAAGTCTCTTACATAAAAATGATTTTCTGTTAACCTTTTCTTGTCTTTTCTATATTTCCCTGAAATAGTTTGCCTATATTATATGTGGAGCAATTTTGTGAAGTTTGCTTCAAGAATTCAGTCTTTGGCTGAAGTTTTCTGCACATATGGTGTATTGGTTTCCACAGTTTTGTAAAAACAAAGTAGTAAATGTGATTGAAGAATTACTAGTATGGCTGCCTCTTCTCACTTCCATAAACATAATGAAAAGCAATTTGGGGAAAATACACACAATGCTAATTAAGGGTTTTAATTTGTTAATCGTCTCAGTTTGATTAGGGACAGATGGTGATTATCAACAGATTCAAATAGACCCCTCTAAGACTGTTTTTAGCAGTTACAATAAACTTGTAAAATAGTTTAAAATGAAGCTAAGCTACACAATATATTATCATTGTATCTAATGCCACCTTTGCTTTTAAAATGTTAATTGATTCTTTTTTACAAGAACATGAGGAGGCATTGGATAGAATTGGTTTTGAACGTGGGAGTTCCAGATGCCTGCCCAGCCCTGAACCCTACCAGGCCTAATCTACATCATATGCTCATTGTAATGTTAAATCAAGAGGACAGAGTGTGTTTGAGATTTTAAATGCAACATGTTCTCCAACCTTCCCCTTCTAGTGGTATTGCTCAGCCATATATAACTAATCCTAAATACAGTTCTTCAATATTTTGGATTTTTCACAGTTTCAACATTGTTCTGAAGATCAGGTTTATCGCTGTAGCAAAGCCTGTGGGTTATACTGGGGGAAATCAGTGGATTGCTTTATAAACAAAGCATAGAAACACAGAAACAGAGCGAGTCAGAAGGGGTCTCCCGGGCCGTCTAGTCTGACCCCCGGCTCCAGCCAGCTCTGCTCACGACATAATTCCTCATACAATTTCTATAGAAAGCCAAGAATCCTCATTTACCTCTTGTGACTTCTGTACCTTGCTTGGGCCACGAGGGACAATGCTGACTTAAATTAAGGCCTATTAGCTATCCTTGGGTTGTATTAAATTAGGGAAGGAAAGAGGTTGTCCCCTGTATAAGAACCAAAATTTAATTTTCTTGACTTTAACAAGATGAAAAATGCAATGGCTGCTTAGCTCCTATGGATTGGATCCAGCTTTAGTCATATTTACAGTAAACCCATAGAAATTATTGAGACAAGTTGGTCATGAGTAACTGAAGCTTAATTGTCATGCTTGGAATAGATGTAATGCTATCAAAGTCAGCAGTCATCACTAACTGTGTTTATGCATGTGTATCCCAGACAGAATCCAATGGCAGGACTTAGGCCCTTGCTGATTCTTTTCTATTCTATTGATTCTACAAATGGTGGGTCCTGCCAGTTGCTTTGTGCAAGTGGGACTGCTTAGGCAAGAAAGGTTTAGCTGTTCCTAGGGGAAACCCCAAAACAAGTGGGAGTTCCCCTAGGAATGCTTGTCATTGGAAAGTGGCAGGGTGGCAGTGCGTCCGTTGACTGGTCTCCTTCCATAATCAAACGTTCTTCTCATTTGGGTTCCCTCGGAAATGCTAAATTGCTATTAAACAAGTGGTAGGGCCACTTGCACGGTGTGATCTGTGGGGCATAAAAGAATTGGCAGGTGCAAAAGAGTCCTATTTGACTCTGCCTCGTATATTCTGTTTTCGAGTCTATTGCCATTTTGGGCAATGCTTATGAATCAAATCATTGCAAAAAAAATAAAAGGTGCTAGATCAAATTCAGACATATATTTTTATTATTATATACATAATAATACACACACACAAACACACAATAATAGTAGTAGTTGAAGCTCCCTGGGAGGCTTACAGCAGAATTGGAATATTGAGAAATGCATGTTTCTAGCAAGTTAATTATTGCCAAAGGTATTTTTAAAATGTTTAGAAGACAGTTATGGTTATAGTCTGAAATTTATTCCAAATTTCTGTTAGAATAAAGGAATGATTCTATGACAACAAACTACCTCTTATCAACACTACTGACTTGGTACAAATAATAATACTGGTGGTGGCAAACACAGCTATTCACCATGGATCTTCCAAGAACCTTGAGAAGCAGCTGTGGGAAGAATTTCCTAATTCCCTAAGTCTGCTTTAACTTGCTTAACCAAAGCATAAAATTCTTTTTAAATGTGAGCCCTGCAGTGTTCATGAGAATGTGGATTCAATTTCCTGAATACCTAAAGGGTTTAGTTCTGAAGATGCACAGTGACTTCTGTTTGAGGTGTTGAAGGAAAAAGAGAGCACAGGGTTTTTAAATGCCTTTCATATCTGTTAACACTTCATACTTTGCTTGTCTAATTTGAGCAGACAATAGCTTATGATGTGAAGGAGCTGTCGCAAGTCTTGAGACTGTAGTTAACAGTAAATATAATATACTGAAACAAACCATGAATTGCAGTTGTCTGGTTTAGACCTAACCATAGTTCATTTTAATAATGATTTTGTCATTCAGGATGATGCAACTAGGAGCAGTTAAACTCTTAACTCCTCTTGGCCACACAGGAGGAGCAGGGGAAACATGTAAGCCAAAGGTTCACTGCTACTCACTTATGTCACACTAAACCAGGCAGTTTGTGGTCCACAAGTTTTAACATACAACTACCATCAATTTAGGCAGCATAGCCAGTGGCATGGGATTGTGGATTATTTAGGCCAAAACACTAGAGGGCCATAAGTCACCCACCCAGCACTAAACTATTTTAGTGTGACTTTTGAATGTAGCCATTGCATCTTACAGTTGAGACTTTTTCATTCTTACTGATTTTTCTTTACTAGTACAACTGATTTCTACATTTTTACTGTGGTTACCTTAGATGACCCATTTACTTTTTCATTAAAGGCCCTCACCTGTCATTTTCAGTGACTATTAATTTTATTTTAGATCCCAGAATCTGAGAAGGAGGACATTGAAGATAAGTTACTACATGCAACTCATAACTTTGGTCCCTCTGATGTAAAAAAAAATGTCTTCTATAGGGTAAGTGAGCAGACAGAGATTGTGATGGTATTTAGTATAAATGCAAAATTTTGTATTGTCATTTTCATAGCTTTAGCATTTCCATTTAAGTGAATAGTGCTGCTATTTCATATTCTGATTACTTATATCCTTAGTTCTCATGTAAAAGATTTGTCTGAAAGGAATTGACTGCTTGATTTACCAGTCTATACACTAACCCAACTTGGCTGTATCTAGGCAGATAAGCATATGAAGTACTTTCCCTGTGTGAAAGTTGAGCATTCGGGCATTAAAACAAATCTTACCCTGGTGAGATCTGTAGAAAGGTTCTCTCTTGAAAAGAATGCTTTTTTGCAGGAAAATGAATCTTGCCCTGGAAAGCATTATTATTTCACAGATGGTTTCTCAACACTCCCAAACATGCCCAACAATGTTCTGTATAAAACTTTGAGCTCGCATATGACTAAGGTAGTTAAGAGCCTAAAGTGGGATATGGCCAACCTCATTTGTGCCTTGGTTCCTACCCTCTTAATATGTCCAGTGATGTGTGTGAACCAACCCATGATCCAATTCTATGTCATTGGGAAGTTGTGTGCAAATATCCCAATTATGTGGGTTCATCCAGTGACCACTGTCTGTTGTAGTGGCTGCTGAAAACAAATCTGTGGCTGATTCCTCAATGGCTGATAGCTCCTGAAAAAATGGGGTTAATTCAATATGTCAATATACTTTTCTGTTTTAAATAGCAGCCAGTTGTGAGCATCTGCCTTTTTGTGAAATGAAAAAAGAAACAACTGATTGGGAAGGCTATGTCAATTTTTGTATCTTGTATGCTACTCTATTGTTAATGCAGTTGGGAAATGACTTTGTGATATCAAAGAGTTATGAGTTGATGTTTTAATTGATAAGAATTGATGTGAGTTTCATATCACATAACTTGAGTTACAAATTGTCTTCATTGGTTTAAAAAAACTTTGTTCTCTTGATTTATTGGATTTATATTTAATTTGGTGGGGTATAATTAAGTTAAAATATCTTGCCCTGGTTCTTTATCAAATATATCTGATTTTTTGGTTCAATTTCAGGTTCCTTTCTGTGATGCTGTGGATTTAGTTCGTGTAAGACAAGTTTACTTTCATGGTGGTTACGCCTATGTGCCTCTGCAGGATTTTCTTGCCATTGTCTTGAACAGTTACAGAACCAAACTGTCGAAAGCCCTGGCAGTAAGTCCCATCCTGCTCACTTGTTCTGTGCTCCAGATTTCTTTTTGTTTCCAGTATATAAGTGGCAGCATTGCATTCTCTTTGAACAAAATGAGTTGGTAGGACGTGGGGATTTAGCTTACTGGATTTGAAAATATGTTGGTCTTTAAAAAAGTATAAACTTGCCATCATTAAGTACCACTTCAATTTTACCATATAATGTACAACTGTAACCGTTCTGCCATTTGGATTTTGTAATCATTTCTGTATTACTAGGAATCAGTTGTCTTTTTTCTTCCCTGTTTATAAACATTTTAGAAACAGGTAGGGTAACAGAGGCAGAAATAGAGATAGTTCTTTTTGAAGATGAGCAACAGCAATTGAGTCAGCTTTTTTACTCCTGCTGGAAGAACAGGCATTTGCCATTAGGGAAGGATTTGACTCTGGTACGCTCTTGTTTACTGCACTTTCAGCAAAGTCTGGGTGGCACCTTTATGTTGATTGGCCAGAATACTGGAAGGTGGAAGCAGTTCATTCCTTATTAAGCAACAAGATAGAGCAATCACATTTCTCCCCTTCCATCTGATATATCTGTAAATATAGTCTAGAGACAACAGATGAATAAGCTTGCTTCGATGACTTGATGAAAAAATAAAGTTCTAGGTAAAGGAAGCTGGTGCCCACAGCTGCCTAACTGATGTCTTGTTGAGATTGTTATGTAATATATCTCAGCAAGTACGAGTATGGAAGCAACCTGGAAGTTGAGAAACCTGTAACTTAAAATGCTTGTTTACTTGTGCAGTTTTAATGTGTATGTCATTGCACATATGTATGTATGGGTGACTTTAAAAGTACTCCTTTGCTTCTCCATAAATACTGAATCATTATTCCCAGTCCTGTTGCCTTTCAAGTCTTATCAGTCCCAGACAGCAGGGTCAAGAGTTATGGCAGCTGTCCTGGGTATCTGGAGGGCTCTGGGCTGGGGAAGGCTACAGTCACTGAACTGAACTGCTCTTGCATCATTTCCTGTATCACACCACACCTCATTAAGATAATCTTGGCATTACGTTTAGGAAGAAATTGGTAGTTGTGAGCCAAATAACATTGACTTAATCAGTTTATTCCTTGTGTGTAGGTACATCATTTGATCTTTCTATTAGAGTCATTTGTTTGTTGGAAATGATTACATACTGCTGAAGAAGTTGAAGTATGTGTGAGATCAAAACAGTGCTGGCCAGGTCTTTGTTAGTTTTTGACCAGTTTAAAATACGTTACTAACTTTCTTATCCCTACTGAATCTTAGTGTATATACCACAAATTACCAGGAACTGGTAATTTTTGAGTTACTAACTGTAATTTTGGAAGCAAATATTTCATATGGGTACAATAGTCTAATATTGTGGCAAGATGAAAGATTCTTGGTATTAAGACATTCTGGTTCTATCTACTGGGCAAAATCCAATTGCATGTAATGGTGTACAAATAAAAGTTAAAGTCTCCCATGCGCTTTGGCAAAAATGGGAACTAAATGTTAATTAGTTCCTATTTATGTATTCATTTGGAAAGGATAAATTAAATGGATTGTACTAAAATGCAGAACAGCTTATTTTCATACTTGCCCCATATCTCTCTCCTGAGAGACATTGAAAAAAAAATGTGCAAATTTCTTGAGTTTAAAAGGTGGTGAGTGGTAGAACTTGCGTATGTTTCTCAGACAGCTTGAAGGTTCTGCCACTAGCTGTTAAATCAAAAATCATGGAAAGCCATATCCAGGGATGGGGAAGGAGGAAGATTAAAAGAGTAGGGGAAAGCTGTGGCAAATGTAAAAGCGTTTGCAATTGTTATTGGGGGCATCAAGCCAGTAATGATTGCTCTACCATGCTGCTTAGACATTGATGGGGCAGACAACACTGGTGATGGCTACAGCTAGCTCAGCAAGATAAGCAAAAGGTTTTTGTTGCTATTGCTGTATAGTTCACTCACCACTTTCTGCAGCCCATTCAGAAAAGTGGGATCGGTAACCCAGGTTCAGATGACACAGCAACACATTTTGGGTCCAACAACCCCAAGAAAAAGCCACAGGTGGTTTGGATTCTTTGCTGCCCTTGAACTAGTCAGCTTATAGTAATTGGTCTAGGCTTGTCACCCGCAGAGGGTTTGTCATATGATGCAAACCTACTCATTGAGTAGAACTGCTGTTTCTTTCTCTGATAGCATTGGTCCTACTATAAGTGAAAATCTCACTATCCATTTGTGTTAGAACATCAAAGCTGGCTCATGCCTGGTTTATTACTCTCAGAAGTGCCACTGTCTAGTCAGCAATCAACTTCCAGCTCTTTCCTCTAGGAAGTATTTCACATTTGGTCTTGCTGAACTTTCATTTTGTCATCAGCCTAGTTGTCAAGGCTCAAAAGCCTAAATTGCTAATTCTAGCCTCCCCAAGCTTTCTATCATTTCTGAGTTTGACTGCTTCCTTTTTTTGTGTGTGAGCTTTTTCAAGTAAAGATGAACAATATTAGTGTGTATTTGATCCTAGCATTCATAGCTCATTGTTGTGTGTTTATAATGTATTACTATCTTTAAAAAGCCCCCAAACACTGAAAAAGAGATGAGATGGTTTCTGAAACATAAACTATAATAGAAAGTTCAACTCAATATTACAGTTCTCTTGTGCCTCCATTAATGGTTAGTGGCTTTGAAGAGGTTCATATATTTAGTTGTTATACTCACAGTCTAGGTTTCTTTGTACTCCACAATTAATTTATTGCTTCAGACCAAAGACTTGATCTGTTGACAGGGACTAAGACCCTGGAATTTTAACTAGGAAGCCTGGGGTTCAAAACTGGCCTCTGCTGAGAACTCACTAGGTGACTTTAGGGTCAGTTTCATCCTATTGCAAACTGTTCTCCTTCTTCTCCTTCTCCTTCTCCTTCTCCTTCTCCTTCTTATTATTATTATTGCTTTCTTCTCTGCCTCCGCCCTAAGGAGAGGGTCTCCACAGACTTAAAACAAAATTAAATCATTTTACAGGGTTGCATGAATGACTTCAAGATTTCAGGATGAATGACTTGGATCTATAGTGTTCTTGCATGTGTGGAAGACACTATCACTTATAAAAGGTGATCCATTCCAATTTCCGTTTGTCCTCTCCTTGCACATCGGTACCCCTATGTGACATCCCATGCTGTTCTAGAGAGTCCTTCTATCTTTGTGGAAACTTATCAAGGACTGTAAGATGTTGTAGTACACAGTGCAGTAAGGAAAATCTCTGAGTGTGACTTGGGTCCAAGTAAAAAGCACTTAGAGTTTAAATGTGCAGTACAAATGCTAAAACAGTTTGACCACAGTTGTTTAATCAAAGCATGCGAGTGGATGTTGGTCCCACTCTCCTGCCCTAATGTTAAAATTAAAATGTGGGTCTTTGCTGGGAAAACTTCAGGGCTTTGCAAATATGTATCTGAATTACCTCATGTTGCACACTTAAAGATAGATAGTACTGCAACTTAAGGTAAAACAAATACTAATGGTTTCAAATTCTAAACCTAATTCAACCCTTATTAAAATACTTTCTTAACTATATTATTTATAGATGGAAACTAACTGCTGTGCACAGCATTGCTTTCCTTGACACATGACTTCCCTGAAACACAACAGATTTTATACAAATCGTCTACTTGTGATGAGAAGACATTAGCAGATCCCAGTTGCTAGGAAACAGCAGAGCACTGAAATAGCTTCTTTTGTTCTTGTAAACTCTGACAGTTTTATACAGTAGAACTTACTTGGAGATTATAGAAAATGTTATAGATCTCTACTTTAAAATGTTGTACAATATAATCTCTAATACAGAAAGTACAGAGGCATTTATTTTGAAGATTGCATTCTCATATTTCTTAAAATGTTTGTAAACATGTATAAAATGTGCTTATGTGCACACTTCATTTATGGAATTTTAAATTTGTTCTTTATTAAATGTATGAAAATTCAAGTGAAAATCTTTACATGTATTCACAAAACTTTTGCTCAAAGTTTCAAAGAGAGTACAATGTGTGCTCTAGTAACCAAACCTATGCCACAAAATAATTTAATATGCTGATACATTGAAATGGTAAATGGAACGGATATAGTTTTAATTTGGGTCCACAATTTTGCTTATCACAATAGCTGTGGCATATAATCAGCTGCTTTCTGGTGAACATCAATGTTGCCTTGGGAATCAGATCATCTCACCCCAAGGAACTTTGATACTTTTATGCCGCAAGTTGGGAGGACATTTAGATCCTCTCTTGCCATGTATTTGTAACATATGGTAAATGCTGAGTCAGAACAAGTCTTTGCTTCCCCCTTAGCCTCTGAGCTGGAGGTGGGTGGGTAAGGTGTGTCAGTGCATACCTGGTGTTTATTAGTATAAAGCAATGTTCATTCTTTCCTGGAGGAGGAACTGGGACTTGTTTTCACATTATGCAGAATGGAATGTCTATCAGTTACAAGTTTGTAGAGGGTAGTCTTTCACCTTGTGCTACATCTTGAAGGCACAGCAAGAGGTCAGGGATAAGAATTATGCATTATTTTATGGTCATCCAAGACCTTCATTAGCAGCTTTTGGGGTATACAAGGGGTTGTAATGGGAGATACAAGTCAAGAAATCCCTATTGTGAGTCTTACCTATGGATTCAAGCAGCTATAATATGTTACATCTTGCATAAAAACAGCCCAAAAAGATAAGATAAACCAATGAGCAATATTTATTACGAATAGAGCATGCAAGGCTGTCAATGTATTCACGTGTAAGCCAGATGCTTCAGAACTGCACAGTACACAATTAGGACAATGCTTTTTATACTTTGTCCCATCCTCTACCTTTTTTTAAGCTCCCTCTTTTCCTAAGGCTAGGAATTTTCCTTCCTCCATTCATAGGTTATCCAAGGATGACCCTTTCAAAATTCAGCTCGAACACTCATCCTTGGCCTGGTTCTTCCTTGTTCTCTCTTTTCTATATGCACAAGTTTTCTCTTTAACCC